CCCGCCGCAACCCCTACCACCAGGCTTAGTACTCCCCCCACTCTCAATATTGGGCCTAAATTCTCCTGCAGGTAGATGGGGCCCGTAGGGTTCCAGCACTGGAGAGGAAACCACTCCCCAGCAGACTCTGAGTCATCAGCCTGCAGGTTTCTGTTCAGGAACCAGAGATAATACTCCCGCCCCTCGGAACTCTATCTGAAGCCAGTCCCTCGGCCAACTCTGTTAACCAGGCTATTAGAGAAGGCTTAACGTGAACTGTGAAATCTGAGGAGACACTGGTTTCAATCTCTCCCTGCCACCCTGACAAAAGTGGCCACGAGCCAGCCTCATCAGTGTGTGTCAGAGGAATAAAGGGGGCAAGAAAGACAATGCACAATACAGCTAGCGGCCGGCCACTGGGTGGGGGGCTGGAGAACTAGGAACCTGGAGAACACAGTGCTAGAATGTGTCCTGCCTGTCTTTTCACACTTTCACCTCAGTGGTGTCAGGCTTCTCCTACAAAGACCGGCTACTCAGGTATGTCTGTGTCTCCTTCCCTCCCTTCCCTCTCCCTGAACAGCTCAACCCATTCTCCCCTTCCTACCTCAATTCCGATTTAAAGACACTGAATACTTGCTTCTCCAGTCCCTGCCCGTTCACCCACACTGGCCCATGTGACAATCCCAGCTCTGAGAGACTCCTTCCTAGGTCAGTGAACTTGGTCGCCCCTTGATGACTGCTCTGTTTATTACACGAGGACCACCAAGCTCTCAGTCTTCTTGAACCCTTCCTCCCCAGCCCCACAAACCTGTGGCTACAGAAGACAAAGGGAGAGAGACTGACTTCTCACATCCAAAAAGCATTCCTGGGTAATTATGGCCACTCTAAGATGGGCTTAGGACCTTTAATAAAAAGGATGGTGCAATGTCCCTTCCCATTCTTCTGCCAAAAAAGCTCAGCAGGGATCTCTCAAACATGAGGGCTCTTGTGGCAGTAGGGATGGGGAGGGTTCACAGAACAATCAGGTTTGTGGAGGCAGTACCGAGAAGCCCAGCTAATGCCACTCACCTCCTTCACGGCTGTACGCAGCTGCTGCAGAGCTGTCTCCCTCCGCTGGGCCTCCTCTTTCAGGGCCTGGCTTGTTCCTTCTTCCTGAGCCACTTCTTGCTCTAGGCTCTGAAGGGTACGATTACACATGAGTAACAAATCTGGTTCAGACCGCATCACCTTTGGCCTGGACTACATAGTAAAGCCCCACCCCACCACACACTGCTAAGAGATTA